ATTCTGACTCCGTGAGTTTCTCTAGAACACCAAATCACTCTGAATGACTTTTTTGACTTGTTGACCATTTAATTCTGCATAAACTTTGAAAAATTGGTGGAGTTCCCCTTTAAGTTTACCATATTGGAAAAAAATATATATATAATATGAACACTTTTTCACAGTAGCCATAAAATGCCATTTCTGGCCGTTACGGAGGTCACTCAGTTTCTTCACTGTGTATTGTTTTCTTCAGTAATGTTGAAAGAGTATGGAATATATTTTGATGAAAATGTGTATGATTTACAAAACCAGAAACCGGATTTTCATCTTCATACGTGAGCAAGTATGTCAGCATTTATAAAAGTCGTATTTATTTTTATATTCAGACGCTGCAGCTGTGCTGTCCTCAGCCTTTCCCTTTCACCCCTCATTGCTCAATAACAGGTCAACACAGAGAGTATTTTCATACGCAGGCTGCCAGCATTATATTATCACCAGAATACAGTGAACCACACAGGCCTGCTGTAATTTCACAACCTGTTCTATTCAAAAACAAGATTTTAAACATGATCTGGCAAACGCTGTACGAAGAATGACTAATAATGGCAGTTTCACTAGCCGACAACATCTCAAAAGTTTTTAAACTTGATGCTTTTTCCAAACCATTCCTGTAATGTGAACCCATTAAAGTCCACTGGTTTTCCAACATTTCTGCATTATGTTCTGTAATGAGGTGTTAACAGTCAGTCAGAGTGGTTTGGTGTGATGCGCTGCCGAGTCAGATTTGTTCATAGTGGTGGTGATAGGAACCAGATGTCCGAAGAGTTTAATGCTTCCAAATGCTACGTCACAGAAAATTAGTACAGGAAATGGTTGTGAATACACTGCCTGATGTCTGAGACACTGCTTTGTGATTGTTTTGAGATGATTTGAATACATTTTTCTAAGACATTCATGGTTGAGAGCTACATGCAAGGTGTTGTATGTAATAATAATGCCCAAAGTAACTCTTTGTTTTGGGGTTTAATACTGTTTTACCATTATCAGCATCATACAGTCACACGCAAAACAGCCCCAGTCAAATGATATGTTTTATTGATTTTCTAAGTGGAAACACATCCTCTACAGGGAACATACTTCTTCTAAACCGCTTATCCTTCTGGGTTGCAGGGGAGCTGGAGCCTATCCCAGCAGTCATTGGGTGGAAGGCAGGATACACCCTGGACAGGTCACCAGTCCATCGCAGGGCATTAGTAGTAGTAGTAATTTATTTTATTTTATTTTTTTTACAATATGTTAAATTGAACAAATAAAGAGTAATTGTGTATTAAAATGTGCAGAACTTTGTTCTCTATAGAGGTTGTGTTCACTTAGAACCTTTGCTCACGACTGTAATAATATAGCAGGCATGTGTAGGTTCTCTGGTTGTCAGTAAGTTTTTCAATGGACCATTTCAAATGAAGAAGCACTGAAAGGCTTTCTCAACAATTAAATAATGCAGAAATTTGGAAAAATGGGTGGAATTCCCCTCTAAAACCTGAAAAAGCCCTTATGTGGGTCCACTCCTCAACTTCATAAGTATTCATAGGTATTAGTAAGCACCAAATAATTTATAGGCACTGAGTATAGAATTATGTATAGAATTAGACATTTCCAAGGCAATATTTCTCAGACTGAACTCACACAATGACTTTAACAGTGTGGCCTGTATTGTTAACTCACCACTACTAAAAGGATGCTAATAATCTCTCTCTCTCTCTCTCTCTCTCTCTCTCTCTCTCTCTCTCTCTCTCTCTCTCTCTCTCGCCCCTCTGCTCCGAGGCTCTGTTCTATTCAGAAAGCAGCCATAAAAAGAGCAGCAGTAAGATCTTTAGTGGCTCCCTGGGAGCAGTATCAAAGGCCTCATTGATAACCAAACAGGGAGGCATCATTGGGTTACAAGTGTATACTCAGCAGGACATTCTCTTTCATAGTTATGCGTGGCGGTCTTTAGGGCGCATTGATCCGAGGACAAAAAAAAGGCCCAATCACAGTGTTTTAGTAGGTGCTATCACATTAGAGCTCCAGTGACACCAAACGAACTCGTATTTGATTTGCTCATTAACAGCATTAAGTAAATCCTCGGCTAATTAGTCAAATACTCAGTATCTTTCTTTAACGTGGAAGGGAGAAAAACGTACGATGCGTGTCTCTCTATGTAGAAAGGGTTCTAACAGAATAATTCTGCAGACGTTTATTTATAAATCAATGAGTCTTCACCAAGACGTAGTCATTTAAAACATTTCCTTTGGAAGACTAATAGAGAGCATCATTATAATAATGAATCTGACTTTAACTATCACAGCAATCATAGGAGTGACTGACAAGAACTTGCAAATCTGCTAGCTTATTTAGCTGGTTTCACTAACGTATCTGAGGTGTCTAGTCTGATCAGTCTGATCATACATGATAAAGAACGTTATTATAAAATATCTACTGAGAATATGTTGTGTTAATCCTCAGCTTATGTCACTATTTCACACTTTTGTGTGAAAGAAGAAGGAGAGAGGGGGGTGGAAATCATTTACCCCTCTTACTCATTCTCAGTAAATGAGGGAAATTCTTCACTGTGCTATACTGGAGAATATGAGGAAGGTTCTGGAAAATGTAAAGCCTTAAAAGGCTAAAGGTCCTTTACTATTCTGGAATGTCTGGCTTATATAATTATCTTAATGTGCCTTTGATGAGATCAGGCTGTGGTTTGTTCCCTTTCTGTCTTTCTTTCTTCTTAATTATTATTAATTATTGATATTATTATTAATGAATTATTTTCTATTCTCATGTGACAGGGCTGTGTGTTGTATTGTATTGTTTTGTTTTGTTGTGCTGTATTTCTACTATTTGGTTGTAAAAGCTAATTTAGGGTACTAGATATTTTATATCTAAATGTTTCTTTATATGTAAGAATGTGAAAATCCAAACCCTAATAAACAAAACCGAGAACAAAAGAGAAATGTTTGCACATCTCCCTCCTAAGTGAATCAAATAAGTGAGTTGCATGAAGCGTTGTTACTATGGAGATGGTGAGCATTAAAGGGGAATTCCACCAATGTTTCAAAATTTCTGAATAGTTCAGTTCTTGAGATGTAAACATAGTAATTCAGGGTGGTTTGATGTGAAATGGTTCATTATAGAGACTCTGATTTCCTTACAGTGGTGGTGATAGGAACCAGGGTCATGATGTCTACAACACAAAAATAGCTATTTTATTTATTACTCAAAACCACCAAAACATGGTAAAACAGTCATAATTCTGAAATAATAATTTTTCTGTGGGGACTATTTTGCCTTACAACACCCTGCATGTACCCCTCCACTATGATTGGATTAAAATAAACAGATTAAAATACATTTTAAGCCAAATCTCATCACAAAACTATCATAAAACAGTGTCTGAACCATCAGGCTGAGTATTCATCACAATTTCATGTAATAACTTTCTGTAAGACGTCTGGTTCCTATCAAGAATTCTATAACCAATTCTGACTCAGCAAGTTTCTCTAGAATGGAGCATTTCACACCAATCCACTCTGAATGACTTTGTTCACATCTCAACCATTTAATTAGGTAGAATTTTAGAAAAATCAGTGGAGTTTCCCTTTATATACATCATTTGCAATTTAAAAAAAAAAATATTGTAACTTTTTTCTCTGTGGAGGTCGTTGTTGTCATCCTTCTGTCCTGAAGTTGGAAAAATTGTAATAAATTTAGGAAAAATCCGAGACATTTGATGTAACGTTATTTATATGGGTTTAAAAGCACAGCAGTATGGTTTCATTGGTTAACTGACTTAGCTCTAAGCATCTTTTCAGGGTCTTTGCTCAATGACAACTTTACTTAAGATGCTTGCTGTAATGCTTTCCACTGAGTATTTGTGAATACAAACAGGCCTAAAAAAGAGACTCTTAAAAATCAATTTCCAAATGTAACGTCAACAACCTCTTCATCCAAAGAGGGCCTGGCACACTCAAATCCATGTGGTAGTTCAGTTAATTATTAATTCACAGATTAACAGGAAGCCAGGAGATTCAGACATGAGTCTTATGAGAACATCTGTGAGCCTCAACCAAAGACCATCCTGCATGAGAAGCGCATCAACATTTTGCCACCCAAGAGCTGATGAGTGTTTCTGCAGCCAAACCCAGATGGACCCCCACGCAAGCATCATCATCTCTGTGTGGTCTGGGCACGACTGTGGATGTGTTCCTTTACGTCCAGGCCATCTTCCACGTTTGGTGGTTATGAGGGGAATTTCAGCAAGTGTTGTTCTAGACCAGTAGGAGAGCAGTATAAGGGAGTTGACCGACACTAGCCTCACTCTAATGCACAAGCTCTATGTTTGGGCAAACATATTTAGAATATTCAGCATTTTTTCCCCAAAAAAGGACCCGAAGCCTCAGCAAACACAGAGCAGAAGAAGAGCACATGCACTTAAGAAGTTAAAAGACGATCTCTTATCATGTCGTAATGCAATGAAACCTTGTCAGGAGTCATAAAAGCTTCGCCTTGCTGCCAAGCCTGCTTGTTCCGAGGGTTACGTGCATTGTGGTACACATTGTACTGCCCAGGCAGAAACACTCATCAGCAAACACCAACCCACACTCAGCCCCAGACAATGTGATGCATCGTGTAACGCTGGGCCCTCAGAGCAGCAGATAAGTTGGACAAACAATGCTTGTCAGGGCTAGGAGGTGTTGGGAAGGGGCACTAGTTCAATAGTCTCACATTCCTCGCACTCTTGTCGGAAAGAAAGCACTATAAGATTGCGAAACGCATCAAGAGCTTGCGAAAGGCAATAAGGCTTATTGCAGTCATGAGCGAAGCTGGAATAAAATTGGAGGAACAACACAAAGTGCTGATAATATCTTGTTACGCTGACCGAGCCGTGGCTGCTGTGAGTTTGTGCAAAGCTGACAAACCTTCACACATTTTCCACTGACATGTGAGGGAAAACATGAATGACAACAAAAGGACCACTGTTACCAATCTTGGGAAGAGCCTTTACTTGAAACATCAGCTTTTTTTCTCACAGTATAAATAATGATTTTTCATTGATTTTCATTTTATACAAAAATAATACAAGGAGGGAATCACATGGTTTTGGGTTGAGTGGCGCTGTAACCAAAACGGCAGTAGGTATATGTTCAGTAAATGCATCAAAAATACGTTTAGTGACCTTTTAATAGTAAGTATGGGATGCACAAAAAGGGCTGGACAGCAGGTGGGAGCTAAGAGAAGAAATGGCAACAGATATAACCTGACTAGATACTTAATCTCTTTTTCTCTATTTAAAGAATCCACATATCACTTTTTCATGAATGACTGTGAAAGAAATGCGAATAGTTTGAATTTACAGGTTATTACTGACTGCTTTGTGTTACTTCAGAGTTGGATAAGTGGCTAATACTGTTTCTCCAGGCTGAGACATCTAACCTTAACCCTCACGTTTATCAGCCTACACACTAATACAGCAAGAGACTCTTAATAAACTGCCATAATATCAAAAAGCACGGTGTGGTATATGGTTTTATGGGATCGTCCTCAGATATGATAATATGGGGAACTGATGGAGTAACAAGCAGAACAAACAAAGCGAGGACGCTTTGCTGTGAAGTTCTGTTCTTCCCTTTCTAGTCAATGGATGGCCTGGTTAAACTTCTTAAAAATGGCTTTTCGAGGGGTTCTTTAGTGAAGGCAATAGTTCTATCTCGAAACCGTGAACACTCAAGAATTATTTGAATGCTTGAATATTCTTTGCCTGGTTAAATGGTTCTTTTCTGATTCTTTAAAGAACCTTTTTGAAAATGGTCTCATCTAGCACTAAAAAGGCTTCTGCTACACTAAAAAGATGCCTCTTCAAGGGTTCTTTAGTGAGGACAATGGTTCTATGAAGAACCATGAACACTCAAATTGTAAGCTTAAAAGGTTCTTTCCATGGAGAAATGGTTCTTCAGATTGATGGAGAATGCATTGTAAAAAATGGTTCTATATAGCACTAAAAAGGGGTTACATAACAATAGCAGAACCATTTTTGGTGCTATATAGAACAATTTTCAAAAAGGTTCAATATAGAAGTATGTACAGCACATTCTCCATCAATGTGAAGAACCATTTCACCATGCAAAGAACCACAAATGTATTGTTCAACTGTCTATATAAAACCACTGTCTTTACTAAAGAACCCTTAAAGAACTATCTTTTTAAAAACTGTACTGTCACAAGTCAAAGAACCCTTTTTGGTACTATGTAAACCATTTTTTCTAAGTGTATGGTTTGCTTTTGGACGTGGGCTGATCCCCCTGTTTCTTTGTGCTTTCCGCTACATTGCATAGTCCTTCCTGTTCTAAAGATTGTCATCTCTAAATCACAGTTTATATGTTGAAAAAGACAAAAAAAAAACAGCAAACATTGATGATACAGACCTTGAATATGTACATCTTTCAAAGAAATGGCATAATAGTTATTTGTATTTACATCTGTACAGAACAGTGACTGCTCATACTAACCACTCACAATGGAAGACTCGCTATGATGTATGTGCAGCCCACAGTGTTCAATTCAAAGGAGTTGCAGGAGTTAATTTAACACCAGCACTTTGACTATGTGTGGAATGGCAAAGGGCAGTAATGACTAACCAATACTTCTAGAACAAAATACATTGATTGTCGTTTAATGGACAATTTGATTAGGCAATGTCCATGTTTAGGTGAGCTCATTAATGAAAGATGCTTCTTTGGATATGAACGGTTGTGTAAGGCAGAGGTTTCGTTCCGCTATGTCCAGAGCAAGGCTGATTAAAACCAAAGGAACCAAAGGCTTCCTCTGGACCATTAGGTAGGTGTGGATCCTTCTGTTGTGCACCTCTACTCCACACATGTCTCCATTTGTTCCTCAAAGGTGGATCATCCATGCAGAACAATGTTCATGAATCTCTGCATTTATGTCTCTCAAACAAAGAAGCAAAACACTGTTACAGAAGGCTTGGTCAGAGATTTCATGTTCCACTGTTGATCAACTGAAAGAGAGCGTCCAGATAATCCTCCCATCCCTCTACCGTGAAAAAAGACCAAGCCATAGCGTCCATTCTCGCTGTCAAGCTTGCTCTCCTCCAATACGGGTCCTGCTTTATTGACTGTCTCTTCGTCCAGGACCCTGGTTGCCAGTTATTAGCGGCCGGTTAAAGTTGCCACAGATACAGGGGGGGAGAGGGAAATGCACTCCTGTTGCTAGGCATCGAGGATGTCAGGTGGACGTGATCACCAGGCTTGCAGAGGACACTGCTGACAAAGAAGGGGAGGAAACGAAAAAAGAGGAAATGGTCAGACCTTATAATATCACACCTTACCATGTCAACAAAACAAAAACAGTGATGTAAAGCTGTGCATGAGAAAGCACAGAATTTCCTCAGCGGCCAGAGTTAACAGTAAAGTTATCAGGGCCCAGAAAGCCGCACCACACCTGACCAAATACATTCCTCATCTTTCTTCCGCCTCCTTTTTCCACTGAAACAGCCTTTACGGGATTGTTTGCCGTTTCTGTTTCTCCCTTTCGCTGTAAGGGCGGAGGCACGTGACCCCATCGTGACCTGCTGGCTGGCAAACAGCCTCACCTGGGTCACCTGATAAAGGTGCAGGCCAGCTGCCGGGGGCCAGACACATTAGATGCAAGTTGTGGAGGGGGGGGGGCGTATTTAGTATGTGAGGGGAAAAAAACAGGGCAAACAAGAGGGCAGTAAAGCCAGGTAAGCCAGAGTGTGTTCATAATATCCCCCCAGAAAGCCCATTGCCACTTCTTGCACCACCCAGTCCAAATACAGGCCACTGATAAGGGTCAGGAAGACCTGAAAGTGCCCTCTCAGCAGACTGAGGAATCGCATCTCCTAGACATGCTCAAAAGAACTATACTGAACATTCCTCATAAAGTGAAATTAAGGATTTCCAGAAATCTAATACATGTCTGCAAATATATATATAGTCATATGAAACATCAATTTCACTGTTGAAGTGACAATTAGTACACCCTCTACAGAGAACACAGTTCAGCACATTTTAATGCACAACTACTGTTTATTTGCTGAATTAAACACATTGCAAAAAATAAAACCTGTGTAAAAATAATGCATGTGGCGTGTGCAAAAGTTTTGACACATTTTATATTTTATGTTTATTTTTTTCAATATGTTAAACCCAGCAAATAAACAGAAATTAAGCAGTAATATTAGCAGGAATATATTCCCTGTAGAGGATGTGTATTTGAACTTATTTTTTCAACAAAACATGTAATTGGACCAGGAACAGTCATTTTTTAGCATATGACTGTATTTTAAAAATTAAGTATCATAAAAATCTAGGACTTTTTTTTATTTAAACCTGGGAATAAACAACATAATATTTTTGAATTTTGAGAAAAAGAAAAAGTAAAAGTGAATAGGATTCGTCACTATTTCTTGGTCATTACTCAAATTTGAGTAAATGGGCTCATGAAAGCCTTTATACAAAGGGTCAGATTTTTTTAAGTCTTATTCCTTCCATTGTAGCGTGTGATCAGACGATTCTCAGGTGGATTTGATTCACTCATCAGAGGATTTTGCACAAACTTGTGGAGTCCATGCCAGCTTGACTGCACACTGTCATTACAACAAAAGTTCTGAAATCTTCTGAAAGATACTTTTTAATTCAATTGTTATGCTGAAAATGCTAATATAATATGTAATTAAAAACACACACATACATGCACACATATATAAACATATATATTTAGGTATTTAGGTATGTGGAATTCAAATTACATTTATTATGCCTGAATATGGTTGTGTGTTATTGCTTCACCCTGAGTATTATGTGCATTTGGCTTTTTGGGCTTTATGTGAAAGGTCATGTGGGAGGTGACTCTCAGCAGTCAGAGAGTGCGCTCTGACATTAACGCCAAATCACGTCAGCTCACCGGCTAGTGGCCAGCGTGGGAAATTGAGCGTGTGAAAGCAGTTGAGTGCGGACTGCATTTCAGGCTAGAGCGCTCACTGAGGGTGGGGAGAAGTCGGAAGAGGCGTAATTAGTGAGTGTGCGCGCATACACACCACACACACCACACACACACCTTACCACCGTTCCACAGCAGGGAAACCAGCGGCACACAAGAGCTTTGATTAAGAGTGAGGGTCATTTCCTGGTCTGAGACACTGAGGGCTGGGTCAGAGAGAGAAGGAGAAGGCAGAGAGAGAAATAGAGAGGGCTGTAGGGACAGAGAAAGAGAGACAGAGGAAAGGAGTAAGGAAGGGAAGGGGTACGAATAAAGCGAGAGAGTGAGAAGAAGAGAGTGACTGAAGGAAAGTGAAAGTGACAGAGACGGAGAGAGAGAGATTTAGGGATAGATGGAGAGAGAGAGAGGGAGAGAAAGTGCGAAAGAATAGAGTGACTGAAAGGAGGAGAGAGAGGAAGCTTCATTTATCAAGTTGTGGCTGAGAGCACGGGTGAGTGATCAGTTAGGTCGTTCAAAGGAAATAGGCATTCTGAGGAGTATCGCTACGCCCTTCGCTCCACTGATTGAGATGTGCAGCAACCATGACCAAACCAAAGGCAGCAAACGGCCCCTTTTGTACAGATTCCTGACTTTACCAATGCTGCTCACATTAGAAAACTTTATAACTTCATTTTTTTGATGCTTCATATACTGCTCCACATAGTGGAGGCTTACTCTGACCGCTGAGGACATTTAGGACATTTAATATTTTTAGGATTTGGCCAGGTGAGATCAAGAAAGACCCCGTTTTGAGAATCACCACAGTACAGAGCTGTTAAGTGACTATATTTAAACAGTATTTACCCAGGAGAGACCCCCCAGTTGCACCATCTTGTTTACAGGACCATCCTATTATGACAGGGATTAAAGAAATTACCAAAATGACACAATTCATGGGACTAGCTAGTCTCATCTATAGCCTAGCGTTAGTATAGTGCTCATTGTGGACATCTGTTAGGGACATATCCTTCAGTGAGAATCAAGGTGTGGTGCATATTAGGGTAGCGTGGCCAACAATGAGAACATAGAATTAATACTTGTTAAAATGATTTTCAGCATCCCCCAAGCAAACGCACTGAGAAAAGTAATGAATTAAATGGACCATTTCCACATAAATAAAACATATTTCATCAACAGCGTTTGCCAAAATTAAGTAACCTTAAGGACGAAATTACATTAGTGAGTATATTTTATTTATGTGGAAATGTACATTTGAATTAAAGTTAATTCAATTCAGTGCTTTTTCAGTGTAGATCAATTGTAAACTGCAGCATAGAGACACTGACTCTGAATCAAAAGCATGGCCGCAGTGATACATGCAGGGCTCACAAATGCCGATTTAGTCCAAAAAAAACTACATATACCACCTAAAGGTGCAATTTTCAAGTACAGAGAATCTGACTGACCTGTTTGGTGGAGGACATGGAGCTGAGGGTGCTGAGGCTGTTGGTGTCCGTCACCACCATGGCGGAGGGAAAGCGTGAGGGGTGGGAATACTGTGGCGGTTCCTGCTTGTGTGAGTACACTGTGAAGAGGACACAGCAGTGGAGAGAGAACAGTTACATGTGAGTTTATTACAGAAAGCTGACTACTGATAAGTCTACTTGGAAACGTGTGTATGTAGGATGGACATGTTTTCAACAAATGAGCTGATGGCTTCATATAGGTTTTGTTTAAATGTAGGGATAACAATTTTCTACAGTGATAAATAGCCAAATGGACCCTCCCAGGAAGAGTCAGCTTCTGTGTTAGGAAAGGTTCACTCGTCACTCACTACTTGATATTTGCTGTACAGTAAACTCACTGGAGAACGATCATGGAACAACCGAAAGCTTTATCGTTGAGAATTCAAACAACATTACAACATGGCTAACACACTAAATAGTGCAGGATTTTTCCAATAAGGAGTGATTCAGAATGCAGATAATGTGCGTGGGGGGTTGGGAAATATATATATACTGAGGAATATACTGACTGTGTGAGTGTGTGACAGTGGCCATAAAGGGCTGCTGGCTCATGTGGCTGTGGGACTGCTGCATGAGGCCCTGCTGGTGGGAGCTGTGCAGCTGCTGGGAGAACTGGACAGGCTGTAGAGTGGCCAGACTGCCTGCCACACTGTTGATAACTGGCACTGTCTGTGCCTGTGACGTGTTCAGACCTGTAAACAGTACCAGATAGAAACAGTGTCAGTGTGTTGGTGTTAGGGTTATCTTAAACAGCAGTATCTTGGACTATGGATTGCCTGAATTGGTTAAACTGCCAAATGGATAAAAAGGTTATGTCTTGGTGCTGGGACCTGGGTTTTGATTCTCAGTGGTACCACAGATATCCAAAGCAGTGAGTCTAAGAGAGCACTGGCTGCACTCTCATATGGGTAGGAAGGATAGCTTAGTTCCTTTCTCCCTGGCAGTTCAAAGGGTAACTAATCGTCGGCATCAATTATTATTATTATGTGCACAGAACTGGTCAGTTGGCACTTTTCTACTAAAATCATATTCAAGTAAAATAATTAAATAAAAAAAATAATGATTCAAGTAGGAATAAAGTTGGGATGTCAGATTAAGGTGGGTTATCAGATTAGTACTTTTGACCAAAACACTTTTCTTATTAGGCTACTTTTACTTCTGCTTGAGTCATTATTTTAATGAGGTAACACTAATTTTACTTATAATTTTAAGCTGTGCTTTCTATAAATCCACAATGAAACATCTAGCAACTGTCAGACAGGAAATTTGTCAGATGCCATTCTTCTCTTTTTGTCAAATAAAATGGTACTGCCCAAAAATTCAGAGGCAGTCCAGGTGCTGATCCAACAGAGAAGCAACAAAGTGTGAACGACTAAAATGAAAAATTAGTACTATCTACTACTTTAGTACTAACATTGGAAAATAGTCAGAAAAGTACAAATCACTCTAATTTTAACTGAGTAAATACATGCAACTGAGTAAATGTAACTAGTTACCACAGATCTCTTGGAGTGACAGTGGGTGAGAATTGGCAATGGCTAATACTGGTGCGAAAATTAGGTAAAAATAGAAAAAATTCCATTTCCGAGGAAAACACCAGGCTGTGCACATTCTGCGCCACCTTATCCAGCTCATTAAGGCTTTTAGAATTGGTTGTTGAGCAGGGAAAATACAAAAAAGTACAAAGAAAAGTACAAAAACATGCCAAAAATGGGTGTCCCAGTGACAGGACAGAAATTGCTACAAGGAAAGATAGAGGAAAACTCACTCTGGGCAATAGCCATGACTCCAGAGATAGGCATGATGAGGTTCTGTGTTTGCTGGTGAGGGTGATGGGAGCTGTGGATGTTGGTCAGGGTGCTTACCGGTGGAAGACCTCCACCTGATACTGAGATCTACCAAGAGAAACACACACAGAAACATACTCTGTCAGACACAGACCAGCTACTCAAAAAGCTTCATCCTGCAAGGCAACTCTTAACATTTGTTTCATACATTTGCGTTTTGAACCTCAGATCAGTGACCAGTAAAAGGGCCGGAACAGTGTTATCAATGGCTCTGTAACTGTAACATTATCTTCTGCAGGCCTCAAAGAGGAACACTGTCTATTTGAATAGGCTGCTGGTCAGAGAGGAGGCCTTGCTCAGACAACCGTCTGAGGGTGCAGATAAGCCACAGTCATCCTCCCTTCACTCCTGCAGTGGCTAGTGCCTGACCGGCTAACACAAGTGAACTAGAAAGCCATGATGAATTCTATTGAGACGCAAACGACAGTCGAGTCAGTATCTTTGATATGACAAATATTTTGTGAACACTGAAGTCGAATGAAGATTGTCTAGCTTAAAACTCAATATTTGGATAAGGCTGGGTGGGGGAGGGGTCAGTTGTTTCACTGCTGCCTGGCTTAATCGAGCACTGCTGTCAGTCCGCTTGCCAGAGCAAGCAGAGCCCCACCCGCCACGGCATATAATCAATAACAACAGAATGTTTCTTTGTCAGGTTTATTGGCTTAGCCATGGCCGTGCCCTGTTCACGCTACCACAAGCTTTGAGGCCCATGCCTACCCTGCCGTGTCCTGTGGCTTAAGCCTAACTATCTTCCTGAAGCTTCGACCGAAAGAAGAACAATACAACATTTGTTGGGCCTCTGGTCGGCCAACGGCAGCGCCTATCGGAGGCCCTGCTTGGCGTTTGCTGTGTCAAAAGCAGTGCCCTGTCTTATCTTATCTGAGGCCAGGAGTGGCCAGGTGTGCTCACCATCTTGGCGTCAGGTGACAGCAGGCCGTGGCCGGGGTCCAGCGCTCCAGGAGAGACTTGCTGCAACACAGACTGGCCACTCGTCATGCCATTGCTGCCGTGATGATTGATGGTAGTGGAAGAGCTGACTTCACCTGGACCCTGGTTGTACCTGATGGCTGAGAAGGAGGGAAAGAAAAGAAAGAGAAAGAAAGAGAAATAGAAAGCGATAACATTACTTCTTGAAGTTTGTCTTGGCTTGCCGGAATGTGTGTCACACATGTTTATATGTAGGGCAGAGATATAGGCCTCTGACTAATTGTGTTTTCACATCAGCCAGAGATTCATATGGCTGCTTACTGGCCCCGGACAGGCTTGAGCAGAGCAAACAAACTCTGGCCCCTCCAATACAGATATGGGCCCAAAACAACCAAGGCCATTAGAGTGTGTACATGCAGCTCTGGGCTTGCACCATTCACTCTTGATGGTTGGCTGTTCCCAGAACACATTATGAATTCACTGGTATGCCTTTCAGGATAAAGACGTGGACTTTCAAAATCAAAAATGAAGAGCTATTTTATGGGAGAGTGTACTTTGATGTTTGAGTCCCATGTCCACACCTGGGAGTTGCAGTCAACTTTGCAGGAATTTCAGCCATCCCTTGTCCAGCGACTGTTTGCAAATCCCAGCCTCTTGATACAGACCGAGCAAACACTACAAAATCAATGCCAATGTCAAACACTTCTGTCCATCTGTAGACAGCACCTCACTTAGAATCCACCACCAGACTGACATGAGCTACAGTTATCTAGAACAACACATCAAGACTGGGACTGTCCTAAACCTTGTCCTTGACCTGACATAACACTATTCAGAGAATATGTGGTAACACTTTACTGAAGGGCAGCATTCATAAGGCTACATGAGTTTTTCATGACAACCGACATAAATGTATACTGACAATAACCATGGCTGAAATGAAATTATATCAAAATAGACAAAAGCAGCCTTTACTTTAACTTCAACTGATGCTTGTTGGAATAAGCCTTCATTAAGGTTTATGGAGATTTATGTCAATTGTTCTAAAAGGGTAATGGAGGTGTTATATAGCCTTACAAATCGTCACTGTCCAAAGAATAACAAGCAACTTTAAATGGTTAACTTTGTGGAAGAAGGTAAAAATGTTCTTTACTTTTTTAATGTAAGATAGTATAAAGAGATTTTATTCCAAGACATTTTGGAGCATTTCTGTTGGTTCGTTTATCATGAAATCATGAAAACATAAACTTTTATGAAGGCTTATTCCAAAAGCGTCAGTTGCCTTTAAGGCTGCTTTTGTCCTTTTGATGTCATTTCACCTCAGCCAATGTTATGACAACTACTGGAATAGCCCCTTATAAATGTATACATAGGTTTATGTCAGTGGTAATGAAAGCTTATGTAGGTGTTGTTAAGTCTTAGAAACAGTGCCTTTCAGCAAAGTGTTGCCAAATACTATATGCTATTCAGAACCTATAGCATAGGGTCCAGAAACACCAGAACATACTTCTACTCTATGGTGGCAAACCAATAACAACTGACCAATGAGAACACAATGCATGTCTTCTTCACACCAAACAAACAGTTCCTCATTCAAAGCTTTTATTCTCCTGTGTTAGCACCATCAACGTATCTCTACTGAACTTGCCAGGTTCAATAGAGGTCCAGCATGAATTTAGAGTGATATTTCAAGCATGTTCATCCTATGGCTCATTCGCTGGACATCAGGAGAAGACCACTCTGGCTACAAACACCACTCTGTCCCCCTCAGCAGCCAGCCAAGTCTTGGACTACTCTACAGCATCTTGTAAACACCAGCAATAAAGCACTCCATCGGGTCCATGGGCCGCTCGCCACACAATGGACCGACCACCATAAACAGACTTTATTTTATAGGCCTGTGCCCTGTAAAAGCGTCAGGGGGAGAAAGGGGGCTATTCAGTAGGGCACTGTCTGACATTGTCTGCCATTTACCCAGGCTGCAGGGCCTACTTCTTTCACCCTCTCTCTTTCAGCCAGGCTGGTTTGTGTTGTCTGACCCAGACCAACCAGCAGGAGAGCTGTGTTTCTGCGGCAACAAGGAAGCAAAATATAGCCTCTCAGAACACAGCACACAGGCAATGCGGGACAAAAAACATCAGATGCCATAAGCGATCGTAACTCTCCATGCAGAACCTTTAAGTACTCGAATTCAACATGACAGTGAAAGGAATACTACAACTCTCAGGTCCAATGCTCACTTCGTGGTCCAACAGCATCGTATAGAACAAGGCAGTTTTGGTGCCACCATACATTTCTCAGTCAAAACAGGGGGAAGGTGGGAAGTCCTGGAGGGGAGTGGTAAGCAGTGAGCTGCAGGACGGTTTGAAAGGCTTCAGTTCTCTCTGGGACCCATGTAATATCAAAGCCCTAGTGCCCAACCCCAGGCAATGCCCTTTATAATTCTGCTGCATATGAGAGACCTCCCGGGTCTCTGCAGGACGTACGTGGCCTTTCAGCCTTTCTGTGGCCTGCAGTTGAAAGTGCAGGGACAGTTGTTCCTCCAAAGGTCAAGAAGAAGGGCACCGCAATGGAGAATACATTAGAATCTTCTAATGAGTTTTAAGGTATGTAGTGTGAGGCTCAAATTAAATTATTTAATGGACCTACAAATAAACAGCGCTGCTGAACTGACTGCATTCCAGCAGGAAGCACAAACTGAGATGACATCACAACAAAAACCCATGCATTTACTTCAGAGCTGAATTTCCAGCGATATCTAATCAACCTGATCTTCATCAACAAAAGATCAATAAAGCTGGAGTAAGAGCCATTCCTTGCTCTGACCCTGTAACGACCTCTTCCTCCCGACCTGGTTTTGCCATGCTTGGAGAAAGGGAGAAAAGAAAGGGGGCTTTACCCAGAGCCCCCTTTTAGCCGCAGCAGAAGGGGTGATCAGTCCTGTCTGGTCAGAAAAGAGCCAATACTCCAGCGGACAGCTCCTGCTGCTCCACTCCTGTCCCTGCCTCAACTGCTACACTCATAAAGGTGGGGGGCTGGGGTGGTTCCAGCATTCCCTCCCCTAGCCCAACAGAGATAAATGAACCTAGGTTACAGTCACTGCAGTCTTCTAATACACCACAGACAATGGGGCCCCCTGCTAGGAGAGGGTAAAGAGAGCAGGGGACAGGGGAGCCCCTTATCAAAGGCCTAGGAGATGTAGTAGCCAAGGGTTTTAATTGTCAATTAAGCATGCATAATACAGACCATGCCTTAGCAACACGATGAGGGGGACCTGCTGAGCCATTCTTGTCAGGCCAGGCTCTTACACTGAAAAACAGCTGATGCTGCTAGCAGGATGCCTTGTAAGCCCCGTAACCCCCAACTAAGGAAGAGCTTGGAAAAGCAGTGTCTTCCACCTCTGACCCGACGTACCTCCACCCCCGAACCTCTGAAAGCTCTCTGCAAGACCTGAGGTCACTGACTGGTCAGGTGTGCAGAGGGGAAAATCCACAAGCAAATATACTAGCCAACCATCTGCAAGATTAAACAGTACGCTCAAGCCAACAGCAAGTCTTTTAACGCAAAGAATAACAACGACCAAGCCAGTTTGACCAGTCAGAAGCCAGTTTCTTTACTTTTAGTACTAATGCCTTGCTATATCACGTTAGGTCAAGGACACTAGCCTGGTATGTGCTTTTTTAGGCAGTACTGAAGAGATGCTGGCAGTAAAATGGCAAGCCTATAGGTACAAAAACACCATCTAGGTAAGTGGTGGTCCTGTGCTTGTGTGACCTGGGGCTGACCCTGGTCCTCATCCCAGGGTAGAAGCTCTTTGTGGCCCTGCTCCTGCCTGCTGACTCAAGAACAGGGACTGTAGCTACAATGTGGATTGTTCTCAGCGCGTTTTCAAAGCTTGGAATAACAATGGCATTTACTCAGTGCACTCACTCACTCACTCACTCATTCACTCCATCTTATTGATCATGCACCTTCTCGTCGCCTTCACCCTGATCTCATCCACTGTGTCAACTCTTTCTCCTCTCACCATAGGAAGGGAATGGAATCTAATGCCAACCATTGTTCCCTACACTAAAAAACTATAGCCAATCTGGACTTGGATCTGCAACCAAAGTCTTACGCAACCCCAGATGCCCAGTTTAGCTCAGCTAGATATGAGGAAATGGGAAGGTACCTTGCATCTTGCTAGGCGGTGAAGTGCTGGCCTGAGGATGGTGTGGCGAGCTGTGTGAGAGGAGGGAGTTCATGCTGTGCGCTTGACCGGTGTACGCGTCCATCGCCAGCTTCTGCCTGAAGGCCTCCTCCTTGCGCCGGTTGGCGAACCAGTTGTAGACGCGTACCTCTGTGACCAGGTTGGTGCCGAGCCCTTGGGCTTTGGATGGAGATACACCTCTCTGGAGACACTCCGCCCTGAATGTGATCAAGAAAGACAGTGGTCAAGAAAGGATGGCACAGTTGCTGGCCAATACCATAAACTTTTTAAATGTGTAGAAGATACTATAGCATTTTATAATGCTTATAATGCATGTAACATTACCGATTGCACTCTTCCACCAGAGCCTCCCGTTCCTCTTTGCTCGGGTTCTTTTGCCGATCGTATGCCTGGTAGAGTATCTGCTGGGATGCAGGTCCCCATTTGAAGCGGTTGCGTCGGAGCTTCTTGAGGGCAGGCTCAGTATTGGTGTCATCCCCATGCTGCCCCATACTCTGTCCAGGCTGACTGAACTCTGGGAAAAAAAGGAGTACCTGATCCTGACTGCCTTTGTCTGTCATATTAATGCCAGACCCTTGTGGTGCTTGGTTGAATTCTGAAAAATGAAGAGAAATTGTCTTTGATGCATGTCATCGCATTCACTTTCCATTACCTTCTCATAACCTGACATTTTAAAACAAAAAGTAAAAAGTAATTTTAACATAAAATAAAAAGTTTAGAATCCGGACAGAACGTATGTGTATGTCATGTCATAAACCATGGAAAACACTTACGTTTCCGTACTAAATGTACTGAAGGCCCACCCCAGTGATGTGAATGTACCACACCAGTGACAGTTTAGTACCTTTTTGTTCTGGGAGTGTACTCCAGATAATCTCAGTATAATTACTCATCCTGTAGTGCTGAGTTCTCTGAAAGGCTGCACTGGTAGTGTAGCAAATCCAGTATCTATCAACTGGAACTGAAGGCTGTTATGTGCTAATAATAATTTTTTGGTCTGATAAAACTCAAAAAAAAATAATTGTGAGCTATAGCAAAGCTGCCTGTGTGCTGTCACCAGTAGAAAGGACTTTAAAAATGGAATGACTTAAATAGAACTGAGAAAAAAAAATTATTCCTTTTTTTTAAACATCGATGGAGAGTGTTGTATATGGTTCTATGTAGAATAAAAAGGGTTCCTCTGTTGTCATAAACTTGACATCATAACAATAGTGCTATCTAGAACCATTTTCTATCCATCTGAAGAATGATTTTACCATCCAAAGAACCATTTAAGCATGAAATTGTTCTATTTGGAACTCATGGTTGTAAACATAACCGTTGCCTTTACTAAAGAACCCTTGTAGGACCATCTTTTTTAAGTTTGTAGACAGAGATAGATAGATAGATAGATAGATAGATAGATAGATAGATAGATAGATAGATAGACATCATTGTACAGAGTTGAATTTTCAGACTAAAACTACCAAAACAGAGTGTAAAAATGTAAACTTACGCCGCAGGATCTCGCGCTGCTTCCTGACGTACCACGTGTAGAGCGCCGCGCGCTTCTGCGTCTTCATGGGCGTGCCCTTGTTCAGGTGCTGAGAGAGGTGAGACTGGTTCAGGCCGGTCAGGTCCACCACCTCGCGCTGAGGGATGTTGTGCTGCTGCATGTAGCCTTTGATCATGCGGGCCGCGCGCCATGGGTCCTCACTGCACGAGAAACGACCGAAAGCGCGTTTAAACAGTGTTTATTTCACCACATCACACTCTGAAATGGCTCCTTAAGGGCTCATAGTGAAGGCAATGATAGAAAAGCGACATTTGAATGCACACATGCACTGTGAACTGAAATGAGTTGACTTAAAAAGCATGCAAACTTACTGCAACTTAGTTAAAGCTTAAATACGCAAATCAGTAAACAAACAAACAAACAAATAAGTGTTTATTGTGCAATTGTTCTAATTTTACAGCATGGCTCTTCGCATAGTTCTTGTCTAGGATGGAAAACCTTTCAAAAAACGTTCTACAGCACTTGCTATTCTTACAAATCAAACGTTTTTGTTGTTGTTCTATGAGTGACCTCAATTCGAAGCAGCGTTAGTGTGTGTTGAAATATATGAGCTGAATCTGCAGCCTAAACAACAGCGTAGGTTTACAGGACTGAGTCTGGTTTATATCGCTTATAGAAATGCTAGCTCTGTTGTATGTTAGTCAGCCCGAACAAGTGTATATATACAGAGGTATAGCGAGTTTCTAATACTATATCACCGGAATAACCTATATAAATATGCCTTATAATGTGGATTAACGCGTTTATTACTACATTACCTGAATACTTCGCCTGTACAAATGTACGCTATTATACTGTATGATCATATTAGCCTACAGTATTGTTCAACATGACTAAACTACCTGAACACGGACTCTGGGAAACGTTTGTTATAGAGTATAATTATATTACAGCGTTAATTTTACGACTAGCCTACAAATACAGTGGAGTCAAGACCCCGTTCTGTTTGATCAGTTACGAAAAACGAATATTGTCTTTTTAATTATAGGCTATTTTTATATTGTTCATTATCATTATATATAGCATAATGTATAATATAATAACACATTATTAACATATCATTAACCTCTGTTAGGCCTGGATTCTGATTCTGGAGGAAAGGAGAATCTCCATCAAAGGGGAACTCCACCCCTTTTTCAAAATTATTGCAAAATTCAGTGGTTCAGATGAAAATAAAGTTTTTCTTACATTGGTGGTGACAGGAACCAGACGTCCACCTCTAAAATCTCCCTCACAGAAAGATATTACATGAAATGGTTATGAATACACTGTCTGAGACATTTTTAAAGATAGTTTTGTGATTAAAAAAATGTCTAAAACTTATTTTAATCAGTAACATAATCCCCAAAGAAAGCTTTTTTTTCAGATTTATGACTATTTTAAATCACACTCGTTACATATATAAAACTCAGAAGACACGTGTAGGTTCACTGGTGGTTTTGGATAGTAAATAAAATGGTTATGTCTGTGTTGCAGACATTGTGACCCCTAGTTCCTATCACCACCACTGTAAAGAATAATCAATTTTCTCTACAATAAAGCATTTTACATCAAACCACTCAGAATGACTTTGTTTACATCTCACTGAATTAGGCAGACATTTTGAATTCCCCTTTAAGTGTGAATGACTGTAAACATATTTAAAAAAAAAGCTGATGAAATTGATTCTCCGAATTTTCTGGAGTTCTCTGGAGTTTAAATAATGCGATACTGAGTAAAACGAATAAATCGTGAGGTAAACAGGTAAACAGCTCCTGCTGCTGGACTCTGACATCGACATGATCCGCTCTAAAGAAAGCTGGGTCTAAAGAATTCTGCTTAATGTGAGCCTCTCTCTCTCTCTCTCCCTCTCTCTCTCCTGGTTTAAAGAGGCACAGGCGGTCGTTAATCCCTCTCTAATAAATGAGTGTTAATCATTGCATTCAGTGGCTGTAAAGACTTCCAAAGGTTACAGGCTTCAGCTCAGCTCTGATCTAATTACGACCCGCAACAAAACATCTCCACTAGCTCACTCCGCGTCTGTTATGAGCCGGATTTTTTTGTAAAAGTGACGATTTGTTGTTATTTTTTTATCCAGTCTTAACAAAACACAGCAACTTTAAAAAGGCGAAAAGAAAAAATGAAACGATTCAAAAGAGCCAATGAATATTTCTTTCACACGTGTAGATTTCACTAAACATTACAAAGACACAGAAGGAAAAGAAACGAAAAAGAAAAAGAGAAAGAAAAGAAAAGAAAAGAAAAGGAAAGAAGAAGAGCCTCTGAGAAGAGCAGTCAATAAACACCGAATTAACAAGACACAGGGGACACAAATAACTAAATAAAAGGTAACAGGCCGATTCGTCTAAAAACTTCAGCGACTCTATGAAAGAGTAATTTAAAATGAGACGCTTTTATAAATACTGTATCCGCTGAAATGTTCTGAGTGACAAATAAAAACAAATAAAAAGCGGTCAAGGTCGCGTGCGGTCGTTAATATTAATCTGAATTAATATTATATTAATATTACTCTTATCGATGTGAGCTGCGGAGTGACAGAGCGGGTGAGCGGAGCTCGGTTAGCGCGCTGAGAGTGAGAGCTGAGGGTCAGTGCTGGACTCACCGCGCTACGCTGCTCGGAGTGTGTGCGGTGTGTGCAGATGTGCGGAGTGTTTGGTTTGCAGAGAAAGAGCGGAGAAGCTGGATTATGACTTTCACCAATGAATAACCAGAACCTCCATTCACACTAATCACACGCCACTGTGTATCTTTCAGTTGATGATTTATAGAATAAAATTAATAATAACTCCGCTCCACGTGCTCCGGCTTATATTCTTTAAAACTGTGTGTTGATGTTGGAGCTTAAAGGTTCAGTCTGGGCTACAAGAACACACTGTAGGAGAATGAGAAGTATAGAAAACAGTTGAACGGAAATCTGCTCAACCTTAAATTTATATTATAAAACATGTATATAAAATATTAGCATTGTCAAAAATTATATCATTATTATTGTTGTTTTATTTTTCTGACGGCAGACTTTTTTATTATATAATTTACTGATAGAAAGAGAAACAACTGCATTTATCTCACTTTTTAATGTTTAATACAGCGTGTTTTAAAACACTGATCTGACGTATTTAAAATTGTGTGTGTGAATATAGAGAGTATATATGAGTGAATATGAGAGTCAGAGCTGATATTAATCCGTCAGAGCTGATATTCGGAGTGCAGCGCGCGCTGCCATAGTTAATGATAAATAGAGCTTCTTCACTTCATATTTCTCTAAGTTAAAGAAATAATAACCCGAGTAGATAATTAGTAACCAGAAAGTGAAAAGATGGAAAAGTGGCGCGGGGTTTTAAATCTCTACACAGCAGCTTTGACGGCTCCTTCTGAAAAACAACACCTCACAGCGCTTATTTCTGTTATTAATGCAGCCCAGTTCTGTTTACCACCGCCTTGCAGCTCCTTACATCAGTCAAAATAGCGCCCTTAAAGCACTCTATTAAATATAATTCGGTTTATAAAATATCTCTCAGTTTGCTGAAGGTTACTGAGGAGACTGAACGGGATGGGCTGAAGGTGACAATCTCACCGCGTCCTTTACTTTCTGACTTACCGCGCCTCTTTCTCCACATTAACGCTGCTCACTGAACTAAAATGAGCTTCATTAAAACAGAAAAATCACCGGCGTTAGATTAAATCTGGTGCTGGAGAAACTCGTATTTTGTAGAATTTGTACAGTGTTGGTTTGGACTTTTAGGCAAAAACACTGCAGGTGTTCATTCAGTGCTGGAGAGTTTTTTGTGTGGTAGTAACTGTGAAAATGACACTCTTGGCGCTTCGTTTCTTTACTAAACTGACTATTCTGACAATAATACACTTAATTTAGAGCCCAGACAGTTCAGTTTCATTTTTTTTTTCACTTAAAAAAACTTTCTGTTTTCTTAAAGAGGAGTTAAACACCCTCACTCGTGTCACCCTCACTTTTGTGTCAAATTGTTTTCTGATTGAACACATTGTGTTAAAAGCAACACAGAATGTGTCCAACTGAACACATTGATGTGTCTAGTTAGAGATTAAATCTGTTGTTTTTAACATTTCCGTTTTGAAATTACAGCAAAATCAAAGCAGGAAAACAGACGTGTTGAAGGATCTTTTACAGGAGTTCATTTGTGTCCAGCCGGACTCAAATAAATCCCGTGCGTTCATTCACTGTTAGACGTGTTTACTGGGTGTCTGTATTGCTCAAAACCGGGGATTTCGGTGGGACTTACGCCAGCATCCGCTCCACCTCGGCCCTCTGCTCGACCGCCTCTTCAGTGTTGAGCGCCTGGAGCTCCTTCAGGATGGGTGGCGTGTCGTACTCGTCCCCGTCCTCCGAGCCCTCGTCGCCGGACAGTTTCCCCCTGCCGTGCCCGTTGGAGAGAGTGTGAAACACGGGCTTGTGCGAGTCCGTCTCGCCGCTGACCGGGGGACGTGTGGACGCCCTCGAGCTTCACCCCCAGCGCGGCCGGCCGGGGCTCCATGTCGTCCAGCGCCTGAACCAGAACTTCTCTGGTGACTCCAGAGTCTAACAGGGCGCTCAGGAGCTCCTGCTGCAGAGACGTCAGCTTAGACACCATCTCCGCTAACATCCAAGAAAAATGGAAGAAAAGAGAAAAAAGGGGGGGAAAGGGGAAAAAGAGGAAAAATGTTCCACTTAACGAGGAGGGAAGAGAGGGGAAACAGGCTCTCCTCTCACCTCCAGGGCCGAACAGACAGCCCCCGCGCGCACACCTGCTTCTCTGGAAAGCCTTGGCTGTGTAACTTTGCCATGATGCCGTATAAAAACAGCGCTGAGTTTTCTCGGGGTTTCTTCACCACCCGTACTCCGGCAAAGCCACGCCCCCCGCGCTGAAACCGGCTACTCACGAGCGCTCCGCGTCTCTCGTGCTAAGGGCGGCCAAAATTCTACTCACGAGCCACGCGGACTGCTCCGGAAGCAGCCAATCACAGCACAAGAGGCGCGAGACTCCCAGCCAATCCCAGCGCAAGGGGCGGGGCTTTGTCGGAATGCTGGGTGGGAAACGAAAGGAGCGCTATAGCAGTGAGTGGGCCGGCTGGTGTTTGGAGCCTTTATGCAAATGAGCTGTGAGTGAGAGCTGTGAGGACGCAGAGCGTGTTTACACTGCAGCTCGCCTGCTTTTATTGGCCTCCGTTATCAGCAACTCTTTAGTGAACTTCGGACTTTGTTAGAGTCTGACTGTTGTGAAGGGGGGAGGATAATAATAATAATAATAATAATAATAATAACAACAACTTTGGAGTTTGTCAGATTCTGATTGTGGTAAAGGGACACGAGGACAATTATAGTAAAATTAACAACATATTATTATACATATAAATACATTGTATTTTTATAGTATCGTAAGTTATTTTTATTTTACTTTATTTATTATAAATGAAAATAAGATCATTAAAAAATACTGGATAAACACATGCTGTCACTGTAATAACAGCATAATAACAGGACAATAAGATGTGTATATATTCGAGCGAATAATGTACATATAAATTATTGATATAAACTGTGTTTAAACATTTTTAAAATTAGTGGCTTATTTTTAAAAATCATAAACTGTTTCTTAGTGTATCAAATTTAGTAGGTTGTTGATAAATACAGGCCTGTATAAGCTGTATATTATTTATTAATCCCAAGTGAAAGGTGATTTAATGAACAAATGAGTTTTGTTTTGAAGTTTGCTGTAGATCATCTTTACGTTGACGTTTCCTACAAAGACGTCAAATTTAAAGTTCTACTGTAAAAACAGACACTGACACAGTTGTTTTAGAACAAACTGGCAAAACGAAAAACGCTGTAAGTGTTGAGTGATTCCGGGCTCGACAGGAGAGGCTGACTGTTTTTATCCGCTTCAGAGCAACACAGCTCTAAACATTATCAGCGTTTTATTTTTAATTTTCAAATTTATTATTATTATTATTATTATTATTATTGTTATTATTGTTATTATTATATTTTTGAAAGCAAGACAATACGAATAATGTACATGCAGCAGTGCGCATACATCAATAAATTAAGAGGCAAACGTTTTTGTCGTTGATCCTCAGTTTCACCTTTGACTGTGTTTAGACCTAACCAATCGAACGATGTTTAAATTAAATGAGCTCTGAAGGCGCGTCCAAAACCGCAAACTACTGTCCTACCCATTCTACACTAACGAGTGGACTTCTCTCGGTGCCGTGCTGTTTAGTGCGGTGGTCTGCGGATCTGGACGCGGCCTAAAGGTTAAATCTAAAGACGCTAGTTTGGTCGAGTGGAAACTTAGCAAACCCGTCCAGTTCCGTTTCATATGTTCAGCTTTTAGCCTCAAACACGTATATACAGAGTTACGACGTTCAGTGTACGAATCTCGGCCTTCTTCCCTGAAGCTTTTTGTAGGAGCTCTAGTGAAGTCAGGTACTGAGGGCGAGCTGCAGAGCTGCTGAACAGTCACTACGCAAGACAGAATAGCATAGATGTATGCATTTTTGTGGATGTTTATTTTTCTGTGTAATTTGAACTCGGCAGCCGTGTGAGAATTTCATGATGAATGGACCAGTAGAAATGCTCCAAAATCACTCGGGATAAAACTCTGTACTTTAACTTACAACAAAAGTTAAGAAGGTTTTTTGCCCACTCCTGTAAAGTAACTTTTTTAGAGATTCATGTTTTTCTTTGGGCAGCGACTATAATAAGCCACATAATGATAAAGTCTGGTCTGGTGCAGTGTGATGGGTTTGTGCTGTACTGCTGTCTGAGGTGTGAGGGGACAAGTTTTTTTAGGGGGAGACAACATTTCACACGCCTCCTTTAAGAGCTGCTCATGTGTCAACCATTAACAACAAATAATAACAAAGAGCAAAACCTATTTATCTAGAAAGCTTGTTGTGAAAGCCATCTGTGTAGTAGAGCGTAGTGAAAAACATGAATCCCAGAGCTTTCTCACATGAGGCACAGGAGAGAGGGGGCGGTTGGGTAAGTGGGGCAGATGTGGATCAGGAGCTGTTTTTAACACCTTGCTTCCCAAACACCTGCAGGCTTCCTCAGAGAGCCCGTACCCTTCATTCACCTGAAGTTCATTTTTACATTTACCAGCTTTTCTAATCTCTCTTTATCTATTAGAATGGAAGAGGCTGGTTTTGTTACTGTGCCTTGAAGACATATATATGTAAATGAGCTCTGTTCTGATTGGCTGGCCAGAATTCAGAAAACATCCAGATTGAAAGACTCCATGTAACTTCTGTGCAAATGGGCTAAACTACTGTATGCTGAATAAGTGGATATATGTGAACACATTTGCTTTTATGACAGTAAATTCAAAATAGGTTTATGCAGCCTAGTTTCCATACATAGACTGTATGAACTGGGGAGTGAATGGTACATTTGGGAAAATGGACTGACTGCTGCCAGTTTGATTTTTAGACAACAATGTGAATGAAATTTCAGGGGGAATTGAGAAACTTTGATATTTTGGATGTAATTATATGCACTTCCAATTCAGTTGACTAGTCTTAGTCATATTTGGCCACAGCACATAGTCCTTCAGTACTTCAGCTGGAGTGAATAGTATGTGAAGTATTTCAGTTTTATGCTTCAGTAGGAAATAATTAGTCCTTCTTCAATATACCCACCAAGAAACATGGCGTTCATCTTAGCTCAGAGTAGCTGTCTGCCAGGAGACTGATCAGACAGTGTAGACTCTGATATTATTGTTGTTTGTGGTCAGGGGTGCCCAAACCTTTTGTCTTGGGCAGCCAAATTGCAATGTTTTTGGTGGGCTGAGGGCCAGAAAGATGAAACAGTTTACAAAAAAAGACGACTGGTTAGCTTCAAGGTTTCATATCCAGCATTTCAAGAATTTAACTTTGTTTCCAACTAAAACTTAACAATGACATGAGTATTGAGTAGTACTACAATACATACAGAGTTCTGATGCAATCACAATTATTAATAAAAAATTTAACTAAAAATGTCAGAAATTATGTATTTTTTATTTCACAGAAATCATTAGGACTTCTTTGAAAGCCTATCAGGCCCGGATCATCCAATGGGCACCAAGCCACTGGGGTCCCTGCAAGCAACAATGAGAAAATCTAAACAGCTGTTTTGACTCGTGGTGCCAGTAGTGGTGAGAATTTTATCTAATTCATCATTGTTTTGGATGATAATAATCCTAAAGCTCTCCATGTCTTTCCCAAACATTCACTTTATTTTCTCCTTCAACCACTGCTTAGCAACTATTCCACTTTAACCATTTCTTCAGTCAAGCTTTCAGTTTTTTTTTAGCAGTGAGCTAATGTAAGTTTCTTGGAATGTACTTTGAATTTAAAGCTCAAGATATTCGAAAGATGTGCCAGGTGTAAAAGTCTGTAACAGTGAGACCTGACACTCCGACACAGTAGAGGATGCCCATTTTCAAAGCCAAATGTAAAATGTCACCCAAGTTAAAGAAAAAAGTTGCATCGTCCTTGTCAGCAGTGATGTGTGAACTGTCACCAGAGGTAAGATATAAATGAAGAAAAAAAAATATTTCCACATCTGCCATGTCAGTTTGCTTTAGCTATGATATTTGACAATCTGGATTTTTAAGTTTTCCACTTTTTTCTATCTTTATTATGTACATTTCATCCTGTTTTTTTACTTTGTCTTTGTTATTGTGAATGTGTTGCTTGTAAGAAGTAGACAGATGCTTTGTAGGGAAATGTTGCATTGGTTTTTGGGTTTATGTTAATCTGTGCTCTTGTTATTGTGTGTGTAATCTGGCGATAGTTTTGTCTTGATTGGAAAACAATATGGTGCTTCTAGCAGTGACGTGCCCAACACTGCAGTCAGTGCTGCATAAGCCACATGTAACCTGCTGTGATATAGTAAAATTCACTGACTACGCAAAAAAGGTAGCCTGGTAGGGGCCCACCAAACATCTGTGCCCAGGGGCCCATCATTTTATGATCTGGCCCTATCTAGAAAAACCTAAGGCTTCTGCACTGCTTTGAAATAAACACCACTTGCTTTGACATTTTGTTTCCTAACAGTAAGTATTGTGGTGACTCAAGGTCTCCCAAAAACAGAGATTTGCCAAGTCTTACTCCATTTGGGTTTTTTTGTTAGAGCAGACAAGCATACAAATCACACTATTTAAAATAACTAATTTCAAATAATATTTGCAATTGTTGTCAAGCAGCACTAATCGCATAAAAAAGAGATTCATACCAGCTCACTACCCAAAAACAACAACTTCATAAAAGTCATTTAACATTAAGTTTCCTAATCCTGTCTATTGACATAGCTCGATGTGTGTGTTTGCGAGATACACTGATACAGAAATACCAGCATATCCTCTGAACTGGATCATGTAAGTCAATAGGCATTGATAACCTATAATCTCCTCATTGTCACTGCCACCCAAAACAAAGACAGGCGAGGCCGGCTGCTCTGCTGCTCCAAAGACAATGTGAAGATAAGATTTCCACATCCAGCATTATATAGTAAAAATCCTGAAGGCCAAAATCTTAATGACTAAAATATCTTTTATCATTTCTTCATTAAGCACAGCTGAGAGCTTGACATACATTTAGATACAGGATCAGTTTTGCTATAAGCTATATAAACAGAGGCTTGGGGCCCCTGAACCACAAAGGCCCAATGGGTATTTTATTTTATTTTATTTATTTATTTATTTATTTATTTATTTAGATTATTGTGTCAGTCATCACACTTGCAGAGAAGGATGCACACGCTACTTAAACAGACTGATAGTTACTTTTTTCAGATTTAATGAAATTTATTTA